GCAAAAAATACATAAAAACAATATTTAAGCGGTTTGTATATCGTGTTAAAATCTCTCGATCGGTGCAGAACTTTTTAAGTGTTTGAAGTGTACACAAACCAACTTAACAACATTTTTATAAATATTTAGATTATTTAGTATCCTTTACAAACAACTTAAGAATTTTCTATTTTGACACTTAACAATGAAAGCATATTTATTATGTATTCCTGTATTTTTTTTATGCATGACGAAAGAGTAATTTAACTACATTTAATAAAGAAAATTAATCAGTCTATAGTGTCATATCATACCCAGTGTATGATCTTAGTTTATATTTTTAAAGCAACTGTTAAGAAGATATTTTTATAAGGCATTTTTTTTTGTAGATGTTTTTAATTTCGATACGCTTAATAACACTTTTTTTATATTATTTTTCCTTAAAAATACAAAGTTATTTTTGTATAAACATAGCTTAGTGGGTAGCTCGTGTACCGGGTGTGCGGACTCAGGTCACGCAAATAGGTTAATAGCCACCGAAAAAAGCGCCGTAAAGGCAGCTTAATCAAATAAAAATATTGCTACTATTTTAGAGTTAGTCGCTTTTGTTCAAAAGGTAACGTGAAAGGAAGTTGTTTGTGATTAAGGAGCCACATTCTTTCACTAATACTTTTATAGTACTGATAACGCAATTGCTTTAAGAAATCAAAGGTAGAAAGTAGCCTTCGTAAAATATAAAGGGATTTAGAAGTCTATTAAACTTTGCTGCAGACAAAAGACGTGAAAATTCAAGTCGACAGAGATTGAAAGCGGTTTTATGTAGACCAAGTCTGTGCAATTTTCGTTCATACATTTTAGGTTACTTTATGCATATTAGTCTTGTTAAATGAACTTTACTTTTGCATTCGACGTGTTTCCTACAGCATACTCAAATTTTACCTTTTTAATTACTACCATTGCGTGAAAAGTTTGAAATGACAAATTGACCATCATTATTAGAAAAGGGAACGAGGTTAGAAAGCTTGTTCATTTTTCGTATCATGGTGATTATGCCAGTTGCATGCTATGCTTACAACACGAACCTTGGGCCCACTCATTAAATAGCAACTTACATGTACAGTTAGCAATTTTGTAACATCTTTCTACCTTAGTTATTGTTGTATGGAATCAGTCATGAAGTCAAATATAAAGATTGCTTCATAAATATGCTGCTTAATAATATATACTATCTATAATAATTAGTTCATATTATATTGAAAGGGTAAAGTGCGATGGGTGGTAATGCGAATAAATACTGTGACGCCCCCCGCGTCACTTTATATGATACGTACACAAAGATCACCTAGACTCGGAACAAGTTGTGGATCGCACAAAATGTTATCACATGTTCGTTCGGTTCTCACAGCACTCAGCGCAGCAGGTATTTATTTGGCTTGATCATATGCTAAATGTAGTACGAGTAAGTGCTTTCGTAAGTTAAATAATATAGGTGTTGTAAAGGTTTATGTAGCTACAGATAAGTAAACTCCAAACACTTCCGATCCCCGTGGCACGGTGCCAAGGATTACCAGACTGCTATTCCTCACTACATCCGTAATTGCATTTAAAGGTTAAATAGTATATTACTCCCACTATACATTGGGTTTAAATTTATTTTATACTTGTATTTTGATAATTTTGGTCTATTAAATATTACACAGAAACTATACGTGTCCTTTGTAATAATGATTTTACTATGTGTAGTCATGCAGATCATTTTTTGTAACGCTTTCACGCCTAAACCACTAAACCGATTTTAAAAATTATTTTACCAATAGAAAGCTACATGATCAGCGAGTAACATAGACTACTTATTTCCGCGATATCCGACATTAACGCGGGCGGAGCCCCGGGTAAAATTTAGTAAGCTATATTTAAAATAAGCAGTCGGCCTAAGGGACGGTCAGAGCTTGTTGGTGCCTGTATGTACACTTTGTCGTCACCCTCTGACGAGTGTCCAATTCAAAAATCTGCCTGGAGGGAATCATTGAGAGGATAGGCTCTGACAAAGGGTTATCAGTAAAAAATATCATCACAACGCTATGTTGATTTTTTAAGTAAAAATTCCTGTTCAACATTTCTGTCATCTTTAGGATATGCATACATCTCTTAATATAGCGCTTGTCTAGCACATAGAGGCAGAACTCAGAAGAATAAAAAATCTTTTAATACAAGTATTTCAATTAAATTCATATTGAATAACATCATTTAAGAAATTGTTTTTTTTAATATTCTTCCTGCCCACTTTCTGAGGCCAAAACGCAAATGTTAGACCGACTACGAAAAATGCACATGGGATGTCTTTAATTATCGTTGACACACTTCTATTATTATGTTTAAATCGAATAGGCAATAAGTGATAAAGGAAAAAACCTGTCGGACACTGCAACCATCTTTAATTGAACATGTAATAAACATTTTAAGTGACGTATTTAGACGCATTAAAGTCAGTAGCACTGTCAATACATAAATTATGTTTTACTTTATTCTTCTTAACATCGTAGTGATGAGAGTATTGCGAATTATGTATTCCGACAATGTTATATTACAAAAACAAAACACGTAAATTTTGAGCGTGCTTTCTGTCGTCTAACTAAACACGTCTGTGTATTAAGTGTCAAAAGTTACTAAACCATTATGTGTGGCAAATCAATTATTGCGAGGCACAGTATAGTGAAGTTTGCGATTGTAATAGAGATTTGCTCGACGGAGGAAGTGCTTCGTTGTAAATGCACAGTTTTGTTTTAGCTGGTAAATAGGAAACGCCGGTAACAGTAGTACAAGTTCTTGTTCACTCTATAAAAATATAACACATGTAACTGTGTATTAGCTGATGGCGGTGTGACGTTGCTCCTTCCGAAAGATGTTCATGGAAAAAGATAGGGCCATTGATGAAGTTTAACTTTACTTGAATTTGGAATAGATAAAAATGGTTGGAAAACATGTCAACAAACGACATGTTTTCCAATCATTCTGGTACAATAAATAAGTATAATGCGTTTTTACTATCCTGGATATTTGAGTAACAGATAGTTTTCTACCTAAGAATATGAATATTTATTACGATATTTCACGTTGATGTCAGGTCCCGTAACGTTTTTATGTTATTACGGTTTAATGTTATTTAAATATGTTATACTAGGATATTGACTCTACCGAAACAAGTCCGAGAATACAGTTATATTACCGAATTACTAATTCAATGTTTTAATTTTTATAAATACAAATAAAATGTGAATGAATGTGATTCCCCAAAACCATGTATAATAGCTAAGCTTACCATGTAATAAATAATAATGTAAATGAAACATGAATAAGTTGTTTTTAAGTTTAAGGTTAGCAAACGTAGGCAAGGAAACGAATATAATAAGATGAAAAGAGAGACCCAAAAACATTATATTTTTTTAATAGTGGCTTTTAAATTCAAAATGTTTGCTGGTGACAACAACTGGTCACAATTATCGACAAACGAATAAATAAAAAGAGATTGAAAGAGAAGCGTTTAACTAGAAACAAACTGACAAAACTGGGGGGACAATGCTGCTCGCGTCCGTAGCATTTACCACCTTTTCCTAGGCACACCCTACACGTGTCCCCCGGGTGGTGCTAATTGAGCAGCAACGCCGAGCAACGGGCGGCGGTAAATAACCCGTATAGAGGCACTCGCAGGCCTCGGGAGGATTAATTCCCTTCAAAAACAAAGTGCGACCGCATCACCTTGGGAAAGCGATGTGTGTATGTCCCTCCTCTTATTATGAAAGTATGATTTCTCTTATGATTTGTCATGCGATCCGGCTAACCCCCGGCGCTCGCAGGTACCCGGGCCTGCAAGTGTGAAATTGGTTACCGAAGTCTGCACAGGGGTAGGCGACCAGGCCCCTGTGACGGAGAATGCTACTGGCAGCACTAAAAAACTCGTACAGCAGGCATTTCATCCGAGCCTCTTCATCTCAAGACCTAGATCATCTTCACTTGGCAATCTTGGCACAGCCAGCACTGTAAAGGAAAAACATTCGCCACCAACACCTTCAGAGGCTATCGTCATAGATGATGATGACATCAGCCGCCCCCCCGAATGGCAAAGAATGCCCACAAAACGAAACCCCAAAAGAAAAAAGCTATCTATTAGCCCACCATCTACGGAATTGAAAAATAATCCAGCACAAAACACACCAAGCTCCATCAACACTTCCAACAGATACAGTGAACTCCCAGTAGACATGTCCGATGAACCCACTGAGTCAATAGAAAGTCAGTCTCAACCCAAGAAAGTCAGCAAACCACCACCGATAATCCTTTATGGAATTATGGACATATCTAAACTGACAGAACTCCTGAATAGTTCCGTACCCAGTGATGGCTATAGTTATAAAATAATTACAAAAGACCAAATGAGAGTGATGGCAAAGACAAGTGAAACATATAAGGGCATTATCGACCTTATTAGAAAAAATGGACTTATAGGGCACACATTCACACAGAAAGACAAGAAGAGCTGTAGAATTGTGATCAAAAACCTACACCACACAACTCCAAAAGGTGCCATTATTGACGAAATAGAAAAAACTGGAAATAAAGTCAAAGGGGAAATTGTATGCGCACTTTCTAGAAGAAACAAGAAACCGCTAAATATGTTTTTCGTGAATGTAGAACCTGGTCCAAATAACCCAGAACTAAAGCGTATAGATTCCATATACCACACAAAAGTTAAGATAGAAGATCCACGAAAAACAAATGCAATTCCCCAATGCGCTAGATGTCAGCAATATGGGCACACTAAAAACAATTGCATGCGCCCCTATCGATGCGTTAAGTGTGCAGAAGGCCATAGAACATTAGATTGTCCGAAAAAAGATAGAAATACACCTGCTACCTGTACACTGTGCCTTGGAGACCACCCTGCAAACTACAAGGGGTGCCAAGTATATAGAGAGATCCGTGCAAGAAAAATGGTCCCATCCCAAAAAAAAGCTCCAACGAATATGAAGCATCAAAGAAATAATACTGTTGCCTTTAATATAGGAGACTTTCCTCCACTAGGGGCAGGCCCCTATGTTAGACAACAACCTCCAAGTTCAAGAAGTCAAGATCCCGAAAATATAGGATATTGGAACAAGAAACAAGAGAACACACAATCTCAGCCAACAAGTTCACTGGAACAGATAATCATCAAGCAATCAGAGATAATAGATACTCTCATACAGCAAATGGGTACCATAATGGGTCTCCTTACAACTATAATTGCACAATATAAGAAATGATGAAATTCCTACGCATTGCTGCATGGAACGTAAATGGCCTGTCTCCCAATAAACAAATAGTCGAATTATTCATAAAGAATAACAGGATAGATATTCTCCTAATATCAGAGACACACATGAAAGACAACAAAATCATCCTAATGAAGGGGTATAATATTTATTACACTAACCATCCAGATGGAACATCACATGCTGGGTCAGCGATTATAATAAAAGAAAACATCCAACACCACCCTTTACTAAACTTTAAACAATCATACCTACAGGGTACTGTGATATCAGCGGACGACTGGCAAGGTTCACTCAACATCGCAGCTGTGTACTGTCCGCCTCGTCATCGAGTTGATGAGCAAATGTTTAATTAATTTCTTAACACACTTGGTAACAGATACATTGCTGGGGGCGACTGGAACGCTAAAAACACCTTCTGGGGCTCCAGGCTAACCACAACCAGAGGCAGAGAACTGAAAAAGGCAACCGACTCAAATTTGTTCAACATATTGACAACAGGCGAGCCAACATACTGGCCAGCCGATCCCAATAAAACGCCGGATCTAATAGATTTCTTTGTCACTAAAGGCATGTCAGGGTTGTACACAAATGTGGAGTCGTGCTTGGACGGTAACTCCGATCATACACCTGTGATTTGTACACTGAGCACTACAATCATCTTGAAAGAACCACCCGAAACGCTATACAATCGTAAAACTGATTGGGGCACTTTCCGATGCTTTATAGAGGAAAATGCTGATCTACTGATTCCACTTAAAACAGAAGAAGACATAGAAAAGGCAGCTTTTTATACAACAAATCTTATCCAAAAAGCTGCTTGGATGTCTACTCCAACTATAAAGTACGGGACTCAGAGCCAGGATTGCACACTAGAAATACGAGAAATGATAATCACAAAACGGAGATTGAGGCGACAATGGCACATAAGCAGGAACGCACACGATAAAAGAGCTCTCAACAAAGCACAAAAGGAATTAAAACGGATGCTCAAAGAACATGAAAACGCTACTCTGCAAGAAAAACTGAAAACTTTGTCACCTCATAAGGCATCTGACTACTCCCTTTGGAAAATTACCAAGTCATTAAAACGGCCACAAGAACACATGCCTCCTCTAAGACAGTCGAATGGTGAATGGGCAAGGAAACCTTCGGATAAAGTTGAAGTATTTGCAGACTTTCTAAAAGATGTATTTAAACCCCATGAACACGACAATAGGAATACAGAAAAAGAAATTGATCAAATCATCAAAAGTGATCAGCAAATGCCCCTTCCGTTACAACTATGTACTCCTACTGAAGTACGGAAAACTATTAATAACCTGAAAAAGAGAAAGGCCCCAGGATTTGATTTGATTACAGCAGAGGTATTATGTCGCCTGCCAAGAAAAGGAATTGTATTGCTTACAATTCTGTTTAACTCTGTGTTGAGATTACACTATTTCCCACTCATTTGGAAGATCTCAATCATTAACATGATATGCAAGCTAGGAAAGCCTTCTTCTGAAGTTACATCATATAGACCAATAAGTTTACTCCCATTACTGTCTAAACTCTTTGAGAAGGTACTTTTGCAACGATTGTTACCAAGACTAGAAGAACCAGAAACAATCCCACAGCACCAATTCGGCTTTCGAGCAAACCATGGAACAACAGAACAAATACACAGAGTGGCTCACACAATTCGGCAATCCTTGGAAAGAAGAGAGTATTGCTCCGCAGTTTTCCTTGACATACAACAAGCATTTGACCGAGTATGGCACAAGGGTCTCCTGTGTAAACTTAAAATGTGCTTGCCACATCCGGCATATGTGCTTCTCAGATCCTATCTAGAAAACCGAGTATTCCAAGTTAGGTCTGGTAACTGCCTTTCTTCATTCTATCCCATAGAAGCAGGAGTGCCTCAAGGCTCAGTACACAGTTATACACAGTGTATACTGCTGATCTACCCACCTCAAACTTAATTGTTACTGCGACCTATGCTGATGACACTGCGATCCTATCGTGTGACAAAGATAGAATTACCGCATCTACAAAACTCCAAAATCACTTGGATGAGATTGAAGCATGGCTGAAAAAATGGAGAATCAAAGTTAGTGCTCCTAAGTCAATCCACATTACCTTCAGTCTCAGAAGAGAAGACTGCCCACCTGTGAAACTTGGCGATGAAATTCTGCCACAGAAAAATGTCGTAAAGTACCTAGGTATGCACATCGATAGAAGACTTGACTTGACTTGACATCGATAGAAGACCTGGCGTGAACATATTAAAACCAAAAGAGACCAGGCGAAAAGAAAACTCAAAGACATGCACTGGCTTATAGGCAGACAGTCGTCACTTAGCTTGGAAAATAAACTCCTGATCTATAAATCCATCCTGAAACCTATCTGGACGTATGGGATAGAGCTTTGGGGATCAGCAAGCCATTCCAATATTGAAATACTGCAACGCTTCCAAAATAAAGCATTGAAAAATCTAAGTGGTACACAAGGAATACTGAAGTGCATGAGTATTTACAATTACCAACAGTTAAGGAGGTTATAGAAAAGTCCTACAAAAAGTATAAAGAAAGACTCCAACAACACAAAAACGAACTAGCTGTGACACTACTAGAGTCCTCTGAGTCTACATATAGACTCAAAAGAAAGCGAATAGCGTCAGTATAATTCTGACAAATATGGAGATGACACATCACAGGATGTGAAGAATCTCGAACTGACTCTACGACGTTCAAATCTGATTAAAGCTCAAAGGGCTGATTGCAGATATAAAAAAAAAAAAAAAAAAAAAACTAGAAACAAAAACGTAATATTAAAGAATAAGCAAAAAAAATATATGCAATTATGTAATTTGACAGTTAAAGGCAAATGTTTCCATTCGTAGTATTCTAGTGCTTGGTTATTAAATATTTAACAGTTTTTTCTTGTGATTAAATGATTTCTGCTTTTGTGTCCGAGCAGTCATCACAATTATAATATTATTAAGATAGGTAAAGGCGAAATAGTAATCGGTCAGATTTAATTAGCGTTGTAGGGCCGCTGTTGCTGGTTTTGTTATAATTAAAGTAACCACAAAAGTAGTATTTATTTCATCAGTGTATTATTAAATCTAAGAGTTAAGAGTTGACTTTGGTTAAATTAATGAGTAGCACGAAGAATCTTCTAATTTTATGCAAACTTGGAGTCGCATTGGTTGGAAATAAGAGGATCCTGCACGTTAATAAGAAAAATAGATTCTTATAATTTAAAAAAATAACACGCTAATGAGATCTTCTCTAAACTTTATAATTTTATTACATAATTGACATTTGAAGCTAAAAATAAACAAAACCACCTGTAACATCACGCCTCATACAACAATTGTGTGAAGTTAGCCCGATATATCATGGGACATGTAATATTAGGTAGGTACGGCAAGTTCTGATTAAACCGTAAAAGAGATTGGTTCCTCGGCTGAGTGCTTTATCGTTGACGTTATGTCGGCAATTTGGTGTCGTCTCCCTCCGGCCCACGGTGCCTTGCCGGGATTTCAGCCGAACGAGTTACCTACGCATAACACCGACGGGTACAAAATGAAAAAAGTTCAATCAATACCAACGAATACTAATAGAGTGTTGAAATAAGCCGTGTCATTTATTGAATATTCTCTGCTACCTGATCAGACAATTGATGAATATATTGAAATTATTATTGCTAATAGGAAACCAGACTAGCATAATTATATTAAGCTCAGCATAACCGTGTTACTAAGTCATTCATCTATTGTTGTACCCATTTCTCTAACTTATCAAGCTGATTTAAGATTATGTTAAATCATTATTTATAACGAGAGACACAACGTCAAATTTCTATATTAATCAGGCCAGTGTTCAGACAAGCCAATTAAAGCACAAGTGTTTATCGAAGTCAATAGCATTAAAAAAAATAGGTTAAATTCCCATGGGACCGAACCGCTTTACAACACGATCGTACTATGCCTTCATATCGTTTAAAAAAGTTTCCCAGAACATTTATTTAAGAAGAATAACTTTTTATAATGTGTGATACTTGGATCATAGTGCAGGCCCGTGACATGTATTAGAATAAACCGAGGCGGTTCGGGCGGTATTACAGTAGGCACTTGGCAGTAAAACATACTAAGATAAAACAGGTGGTAGCTGATATATGGGTCCGCATGGGGGGGTGCTCGCATTGCAGCTGGCGCAACCTCCGCTCACCTCGATCGCTCTTATATTTACAGTACTTAAATATCTTTTATTTGAACTGGTACTTTATCACCAAATCCTGGCTTCTAGGCATACTAAAACTACAGTAATACATACACACACACACACACACATACGTATATATATATATACTGTACTACAGAGCTGTGTGTATATGTGATACACATAGCTCTGCACAACTAAAAGGTTGGCTGGGAGATAACGCCTACGCCATTAAGTCCGCCTTGTGCATTACATTATGCACAAAGTGTATATATATATATATATATATATATATATATATATATATTATATAATCAAATTAATGTATTTCAATATTAATAATATATCAATGTCGGTTATAGCGGTAAAAAGTAGCATACCTATATCTTTTCTCAAGAATGAAAGTATCTCCATACCAAATTTCATCTAAATCGGCTTAGCACACACTTTCGCATTTATAATATTAGTATGGATTGGTCCTAAATTTGTTTCAAATTACTCTATTCTAGAAAAACTATTTATTTTAAATGTGTGAAAAAAGATACGATACGATTTTTTACGCACTCATAAGTTTGAAGTAAGTAGGCCTAATTATTACATTTATTTTCATTCATAATAAGCAAAGCAACTTTTTACGTTAAAGATATAAAAATATTAGATACTTTTTATGAACGTTTATAAATTATACAGACATGACTTATGAAAAATACTAATTAGTTTTTTGGCAATATCTGATTACTGATTGCATTAGCGTTTTCGTGATGATAATACACCATAACTAAT